TTTCTGCCAATGAAGCAGCTCTATGCATTAATTCTGGAAGGATTTCTGCACTATCAATGAAATTTTTTCTCTTATTTGTCAATTTTGCTACTGCCATTGCCTGGTTTCAGTACCGACAGATACTTTACGCCTTTTGCCATTAAGCTTTTGCTCACCTTTATGAAATGTCATTAGGATTATTCCCACTGATGGGGAAACAGGGAGGGTAACCTTCTGCCCACAGACTGGACTGATAATACAGTTGAGACTGAAAATCTGATGGCCTGACTCTGCCTCCTCTTTAACCAGCAGGATAATGATAAAGAACATAAATCCCCAGCTTTTTTTGAAATGTTTTTCACAAAGGAGTTGCAGAGAAGGGTGCAACTAGCCCCTGTAACTTAGCACTAATCTGCAATTAAATATACTAGTTTTTAAAGTCAAAACCAAAAATCTAATGTGAAACTACTGGATACAATGGGTCCATTTCTCCTTGAATTTTCTCCTGTGAATTATCTTCTATTTTTAGATCTTTTATTTTTAGGCTGCTGCATACTATTGCTGGGCAGCTCGACCAACTATTAATTGGAAATGTTTTACTTCTCATGCAGTTTTATTTCATTGCTTTCTGCACCACTTAAACCAAACTGTCCTCCAAGGAGATGACAGGCCATGGAGAGCACATTTAAAGGACAGTTACAAGCTGTGCTCTTTGGGCGCAGTGTGGCACTATTATAAACCTTTTGCTGTTCTCTCCTCCTACACCTGCATATGTTTGTGTCTGTGCACACTTTTTTTTTTAAGCCATGTCAAACTTTATGGAGTATTAGGGCCATATGGCAGCAGTTCAGCAAGCTCTCAGTATGCACCTGAGATTAAAAGACTCCCTGAGCACAGTCGGTGGAGTCCCGTGACAATATCCGTGTGCCATATACAGTGCTCGGTCATGACAAGTAGATCCAAATGATCTGACGTGGGGAGGGGTGGGAGCTGGAAAACCCAGCAGGGCACTTCACAGCTGCAGGTCCTTGCATTTTTGGCAGCTGTGTTACCAACTTCGAGGTACTATGCCACCTAGCCAAGTTCGAAGCTAAACTTAAGGAAGTGGTACATGATCATAACCGCTGTTTTTAATACTATTGTCACTACCTTTCTCAGTAACCTAGACAACAGCAAAAACCTAATTTCTTTCCAGTTTCAGAGCACTACTATACTAGTTTAAACTACTGTTTGAGCTGAAGTCAGTGGCAAAGCACGAGTCAGGAATAAAATCGGCCCCCATTCAACTGGCATTTCATTTAAAGGGACTTAACATTTGCTGGGATATTTAACTCCACAAAGCTCACATGCCTTTGCAAGCTACCACTTTAAAATGCTAGCTAAAAATATTTGCGTTATCTCAAGTCAGATGAATAAATCCTCCCTACTGCTGGGTACACAGTGTGGCAGTGTACAATACAACTGCAAATTTATTTGTTAGAAACTGTACATCTGTTATGATTTACGCTTGCCAAAATATAATTCTTTATGGCAACAATTGTTTCATGGTGCTTAAACTTTTTCACCTCTGTGCCAGGAATCTCATATGGGATAATTCCATGACCTTGGAATCCAGCAGATACATTCCACATCTGTCTGGTCTGGGAAAGCCCAAGTTTGTTGTGTGAAAACCATAGTGGGAAAATAAGACCTGGAAATATCTGAAAATACAGAAACTGCAGTGCTGCTTCTTTTTTTCTTTTTTTTAATTACCAGTATGAAGTGAAGTAAATCAATATCACAAAAGCAATTACTTTGCTTTTGTAAGCAGACATTCACTTCTGATCCTATCTACAAATTAAGGAATATGGTATAAACATTAAAATAATTCTATCTCTGGAAAAAATCACAGCCTTTAAATATTAAAACTAAATCTTGTTGAAGGCTGCTTGAGATTTAAATGGAAAAGCACCCAACCTACTGCAAGTAAACATCTTATTGGTTGCCTGTGAAGATTTAGGATGGCAGAAAAACTGTAGCTGTCCTGGAATCTCTGGGTAATACTTTTCTCATTAGACTTAACAAAAGATGAACCATAAACAGCTTTGTGAGCAGTGAACTTAAAAAGCCCTGGTTTCCTGTGACTCTTCCCTGTGCACATTTTCTGTTATTCTAATAATTTGGCTGAGCTCCTGCTGCAGCCTCACTCTTCATGCGGCACTATGCATTTTCATGCATACAGACTGCACTTCAAATAACCTGCACCCCAATACAATCTGTGCAACACTGGAGATAAGATGGTGGACAGAAAGCCATGAAAAAAAGGTTATACTAAGAAAAACAAAGAAAAGGTGAATGTGCTTGTTTGAGAAGGGGGAGACTAAATATTCTTGTCCATACTAACCAGGATGATATTCCTTGTTTAAAGCAGGAATTGCTGTTCTGATCATCACTGAGGCTGGAAGTCTCCCTTTCAAAAGGGTTTAATGGTTGCTCCTCAGTCTGCAAATCCTGAAGGTGCCAATTCACTTACAGGCTATGTCCTTCTGCAGGACCAATATAATTAAAAGATGGTATCCCAAAGGGATGTCGTAGAGGAAGGCAGCATTGCAGGCTAACCAGAAATGAACGATTAATTTATGAAATTCATACAAAACTGTGCTAACAATTTAAAATCCATGTGTGAGTCCTGGGTGTCTTAGAGAAGCTTTTACGATAGGAGTCACAAGATCCCACTTGGAACCAGTATCTGGGATGCTGGTGCACCAAAGCTTTGTAAATTGGTAACTGATTTGTCTAAGGCATGCCATGAATGACCGTGGTTTATAATAAATTAGTATGTTGCCCCAAAATTGTGTGGCAAAGTTTAGCTTTGTACTACTGGACATACTGTGCTCCAAAGGAGACTGCATTCTGGTGATATATGAAATGGTTTCTGCATATAGAGCAGCCAAACAAATTGGCTGCATTTCTAGTGTTTTCAATTATAAGGTCACAAACATCAAAAAACATATGAAAGAAGCTAATGACTTTTCAACGTATTGTGACAACAAACCAGCCAAAACTACTTGCAACTAGTTTGTAGAATAATGTGTTCCTGGCAGCTCACATCAACTCTCCTGCAGAAAAGTTTAACATCAAAGATGTAAACTCCTGTAAAATCAGGTTTAACATACAAAGCTTAAACTATGTGTGAGCAGGCAGAAATACTACTGCAGCACAAGAAATAGTTGATACTGGATGTTCGTACTTTAATGTAGAAAAATACAGGCAATTTCCAAAGTGAGAAACTCTGTTAGATTTATAGTGGAAGGGTGAGGTGAGCAGATACTTTACGATTATGCAGTATGCAGTGTTAATACTTTTCTACCCATTCAAGTCTTAACAGCTGTTCCATCAAGAGGGGGAAAATAAAGGCCCTTGGTAATTCTTAAGCAAGCTGCCAATTTTCCACATGGGATTCAATGGCTAAGAAAATCAGGTTTTCCTAGCCTCATGCTGCTGCAAGGAATAACACCACACTCAGTATCACTAGTAGAAATAAAAATTCCCTATTTCTGAAAAAAAAGTTGTATTTCGTAAATTTTTCTTATATGCTAAATATCTTGTTAACAGAAAAATTTCCCTATCTAATATCTAGTCTCTTTTACTCTGACACTATTGTTTTGAAGGGGCACTGCTCGTCATATATTTAAAGATCCTTAAGTGTCTGTGTGATACACAGGTGCAGTTATTTGCACCGACAATTTTGTGAGCATCAGAAGAGAAAATACGTTCATAAATCAAATGCGTATTTCCAACACTCAAGAGGAAAGAAGGATGGAATTTTAAGTTTCAGATATTTATTATGAACCAAATTCTGGCTGCCTTAGATAGAGGCACCTGTCCAAAAATCCACAGATAAGGAGCAAGCAAAGAAAAACCTGTTGGGCTCTAAACCATCTGGAATGGGCGCTGTACAAGCCCTTTATGACCTGAGCAGGGCAGGGTCTCTTTCCTCCTAAATCACGTCACAACACAGCAGCCTGATGGAGGCAGGGATGTATTCTGTTTACATAAAACTGGATCCCAAGGCAACACAATCATACCAGCTTCCTTACATCCATCTGACACACCTTCTCCCACAGTGAGGGATTCAGATTACCTCCTAGCTCCTGTGCCACCACTGCCTCCTTGCTGGCCACGTAACATCTGGCCTGGCATGTGCACTTGAACTGTCACCACACAGCCATATGTTGGTCATTCCCAGGCTATATATTTGTGTATGAACACTCACAGCTGGCACTGAAAAGCTCCTGCTTCAATACATAAACAATCATATCCTAATGCTGTCTTGTTATTCTTAGTCTGAGACTCTCTAATACCTTTTTAAAACTTGTTATATCACAGCACCTAGGTATTTGTATGAGATACCAAGGATCCAAATATTTATGTCAGAGAGGGAGGAAAAACCCCGTCAGCATCTGTTTGCAGAAGTGAGATGGTGGAACTGAAGTGTCAGATAATCTCCCAAAAAGATGTCAGCATTTTCAGCTGCCTGACAGATCTGTCTGCCTGTGTGAGAGTAAACAAGAAAATGGCTCAGCCATTTGGACTGAGCTTAAGGCAAAACGAAGAACAAATTATCCATTTTCAGATCAGGTCTCCTGCTCCAGTTTACAGATGTTCATTTGTGATTTCCCCTGTAAGTCCCTTTGGGAACAATGATCAATGCAGTGTGTGGCTGGCCAGCCTGGTTGAAGTATTGGCAATTTGGAACAAGAAAAATCTCATGTAGAAAACAAACCTTCAAACAGTAAAGACACTAGACACACCTCAAAATTCCTCTGCATCTTCAACTTACTGGAAATTAGGGATCGTCCCACTTAAGACATTTCCATGGAACTGGTGTCTGAATTCACTTGAGTAATTCTCCTGGTGTGAGTGGAGTTAGTTCAGATTTACGCTGAAGTAAAGAGATTAAACTGAACCTAAATGTCTTTTAATACAAAGTCTTGATCTTTACCAGGAAATGACAGAACTTATCAGGATGCCAATCTTACCTCTGTAATAATGAAGAAGTCATCACCGGGCTCTCCCTGCACAACAATTTTTTCTCCATCTTCAAACTGGACAGGTTCCAGTGCATCAGCCACTGTCAGCCGCTCCCATTTGTCCAGGGACTCTAAAATATTGAAGATCATAAAGCTTTGTTATAAGAAGACTCTAACTTTGGCCGAGATTTGTATCTAAACTGACAGCTCTGCTATGCCTGGTTCTGTTATAAAAGAAACATTTCTTTCATCCAGGCACTTTGCACGAACCTCCAGTTGGGAAACATGAATGTATTTATTCATTGTGTCTTAGAGTTAATAATCACCCAGATAATAATCTTAAAAGTTGGACAGGAAAAGTTGGCTGTGGTTCCCTACGCCTGCGATCTGATCTGCAGTGCTGCTGATGCTGCAGTGGATTGGAGCAGCCCAGGAGCTGTTTTGGAGATACCAGTGATATGGGAGCGCCGAGATTCTCTTACCACATCCCACACCAGATGTCAGAACAAGTCCTACTCTCTTTTCGTCAGAGTTGCTCTCAGCTGGTTACTGATGGCCTGCTAGATAAGCGATGCAAAAGTGCCGATCTAAAAAAATGACTCTTCCCCCATGGGTGAGAGCACGCACCACTGAAGCCAACGGCAAGACCCCGGTAGCATGGGTGGCAGTGAGACCAGAGGCTCAGCATGGATGTGTGAAGTGGCACCTCTGTTTCATTTGCCAGCGGGATGGTTTACAAAATGTTTTTCTTTTCATTCCCCCACTTGGAGAGAAAAGTTGTAAAACTTCAAAGTAAACTTCAATAAGAAAAAATTACCGGTCTGTTTTATGAGTGATGGAGCTAATACAGCCTGCTTCCTGTGGCTTGGTGTCCTTATCACCCACCTGCAGCTGCCACAAATCCCCTGGGATACCTACACGGCAAAAGACAGCCCGCACAGCGGCTCCTCCAGGGCTGCTCACTGTCCCACTGCCTGCCTCCTCCCGTGTCTGCCAAGGGATCAATTTGACCTGTCCTGCTCTCCCAGAGAGGAGGGCTGCCAACCTGTCTCTCTCTCCTCTACTCATTTGCATGAGAATTCAAGACAATGAATTGTACTTGAACTTCCGTACCTTTATCAGATTTGACTGAAAGAAGTGACAGTTTAAAAGCTATTAAAAGAAACAGATAATACAATGATATAACCTTCACTGCCTCAAAAAGCTGGGCTAAAATTCACGCACTAGAGCTCTGCTGATTCTTACTTATTATGAATTATTGAACTAATATAAGCCAAGACACGGCTTCTGACACCAGGATTAGATCTGGGCTGTTCTCTCAGACTCTGGTTTCGCCATTTTGTTCAAAATATTGCTCAGAAGTATTGTGTGAGGGTGAAAGAGTTGTTCTTTGAAAGTTAAAACGCCTTTTGGCTGAGCTTAGAAGTGCACACTGAGTCTGGTAACAAAACCAGATCAAAGTGATCAATGCACCAAAGGTAAGTTTTGAGCTGCCTGACACACATATGTCTTCATGGCTTTATGCCACTTTGTGTTGCTGTTTGGGAAATGATTACTTCTAGTATTTTCCGCACCTATAATCACTAATGCACTTTCCTGGTGTATTTGTGACCTTTGCTGCAGAAGCATTAATATCAAAGACCAAGCCCATATTGTCAATGCAACATTCAAAAAGTGCTCTGTTTGACTAAAAATAAGCATAAAACTCTTTCATACAGACTAGAGTAGGCTTTTTCATTTTTTTTTTAAAAGAACTCAGTAATTAACAATGAAAAGAAAGAGTCTCTTGAAACTTCTTCTTCAGTTGGCTTTATGAGAAATTCAAAGCTAATTCTAGCTCTAGTCACAAAGTGTCTCTCTTTTGTCTAAGGGAATTGTACCACTACAAATACATTGGTTAATGACTCTTGCAAACAGAGCATTATAAAGAATATTGTACACGATAAAACTCCTAAAGTTTTCGTTGCAGAATTAAAGTCAAACAACGCATAAAGTAGACCATCTGCAATCTTTTGCAATTTCTAAATTGTACATATCAATTCATAGCTTTACATTTAATTAAACTCCAGAAGAAAGAGTTAAAACAATTAGTTTTCTAATACTTTGTTTGATACACTATAAGCAGCTACTGATAATCTAAAAATCCTTAGATTTAAGAAAAAAAAGACCCTTACAATTATATGGCTAGTTACAGACACTAGACAGGCCTTGAAAAAATATACATATGCAGCAGGTAGAGGTTTTTCTACCAAGAAATCACTGATTGCTGACCACATTAAGGCATGAAGTGAAGTTGACTCCTCAGTGCTGTGTTGAGATTTCTAAAATACCTTTCTGTTTCCCAGGTGTCACCTACTCTTTAGACATGCGAAATAGATCCTTACACGTTTCACCTAAGGTCTCCATCTTCCTGAAATGATGTGTTATTTTGTCCACTGCTTTTCCGTACTTAAAAAAGGTTCAAATCTTGAAGTCCTTCCTCTTTTTTTACTGAGATTCAAAAGCCATACTACAAACTAGGATATAATTACATCGCAAACCGCATGTTTAAGGAAGCACATCTTTGAATAACCTTTCTACTCTTAAATTGTTTTGAGATGTCTCATTGTTGTAATTGCTCCTCATTAGTGCAGGTGCAGAGATCCTTTTTTCTTTAAATACTCATTGTAATTTGGTATAATTTGTGCTCTTAATTTAGGAAGATTTAAATTAGGCATAAAAGAAGGCATTTAAATGATGAAAACTTCATTAATAAGTGAGCAACATACTTGGCCTTACTTTAAGCATACAAATGTAACTGAAAATTTCATGGATAGCACCTCTCAGAAGTTCAAGTATATTTTCACTAAGACACTTTCATATTTCAGGTACCTAAGCTCAAATGGTAGATGAAAACCATAAACAAGAAACAGAAATTGTTTAAGTAGAACTATAAATACTTTAATTATATAGCAAATTAATCCTGAATTGTTTTTTTCAAAATAGCCCCAGTAGAAACATGGTGTTTCTCCTACAGAATCAACATTTCATTGTACTGTCTAACACTGTCCTCCTTATTAGAAGCTTTTGTTCTCCTAATGGTGATTGATTGGTCAGGCATTATGGGTTTGTTGTTTTTCCTACTGAAGGCCATCAAGAACATGTCCAAATTTCGTGGCTATCACATTAATCAAAGGGAAACAAAATCCAAGGACAAGAAGCTAAACAGATGTTTTAAGAATGTGAGACAGGGGCTGTAAAATACACAGAAGAAAAAAAAAAATCAGTCCGTTCTGATTTGCAAGGTTAGTTCATTCAGTGCACATATATACAGTATTCCTGCAGGAAAAAGCTTCTCACCTGTCACCTGGAAGGCTGTAACTAGACTTTATGACAAACTCATATCTCTGCACTGCTTTCACCTCTATCCATATGATCTTTGCTTCAACAGCAGCTACTGAAAGGTTACCAGTGCCTGCCTGCTCCCATATTTAAGGAAAGATTTGTCCTTCAAACACATGTTCAGTGCATATTAAAAAACGAGAAAAACAAGTCCTAAAAAGGGCCCTTTACGCTTTCATTCCTTCGGAAATGACGCAACCGTGAGACCTTCTGTTTGACCACCATTGCTTTCATCGTGCCATCAAAGACCAAAATTCATTCTGCCAACACATATAACAGAGGAACTAACAGGCAAGTCCAAAGGGCAACTGACCCAAAATGGAGACCTTGCTCAGGAATTCTTCATACATCTTCCGCTTTCTCAGCGTGCTGCCCTGTTATTAAAGGAGAGAGAAAAAGGAGGTAGAACATTACACAAAGTATTTTTGTGATTTCTTCCTACAGCTGCTCTTTTTTTTCCCCTCCCATTCCAAATCTTAAGCATAGCCAGTATAAACAGCCTAAGGCAAATGTTTCCCCATAAAATGTCTGGGCAAGTTGTATTGCTGATAAGCAAAGACAGAAGGAATCAAATTCAATCCTGGTGTAATTTCACTGACTTCACTGGTGTTACTGGACACCGCAGATGAATTGTATCCATTATTTACAGGCACTCATTTTAAAGCCAGAGCTTCATCAATTAACTGTCTAGCTAATTCAATATATATATATAGTTACCAATGAGGCCCTGCTAGAAGAGAATTTACAATTACAAAGTAGGATAAAACTTAAAATGTCTCCCTCATGGGTCCCATCCCTTTAGGTTAAAACCTCTTTAATGCCAAGAGCATTTATCTGTAAGCCCGGTTTATGTTCTGTATAGTGTTGTATGTATTGTTACTGCTGAGCAACCTATTCATATTATTATTTTAACAAAATTTAAGCATTTTGGAGCAGACAATCCATCAATGTATGTGTAGCCACCAGCACAGTCATTCCCATCCTACTAAGATTTTATTGTGTGATAAATTACTGAGAAACCTTCTGCTTACATAGTGTTTGATCATCATAGACAGAAACTGTAAGTAGCCATTCCAGCATGCATTTTTGAAGGAGATTCAGGTATGAATAAATACAATGCAGTTTTACCAATACACAAATAATCAATTCATCTTTAACTCCTTCTGCAGTGACACAAGTGACTTGAAAAGAAAACCTTCCCAGGTACCAAAGAGGAACTCCAGGGTCTTCCTCGGTACTATGCAGTTTATTCCACACTGTTATATGACAGCCTGCATCACTTCTGCCTGGGTGGATTCCCTGTGGATGTTGAAGGCTGCCTGGTGCCTGCTAGTCAAATCTACAAGGCAGGAGTACAGCACAAAGACAGTACATTTATCTTATGAAGAAAGGGGAAATAAAGATGTCATTTACTCATAGGCTGGACAGAGAAGACAGAAGCAAATGTCAGTTGTCTATTCTTCCTTCTCCAAGTAAGCACTGGTAAGTGCTGGAAGCAGAGGCAGAAACTGGGGATAGAGAAAGGAAAAGGAGAAGAAGCATTTTACCCTCCACTGTGAAAGAATTCAGAAGTGCTTTAGGTATGAAAAAGGGAAAGGCTGGTGTACTCAAGTGCAATGATATATATAACTAAGAATTAAACATCGTCCCTCTTCCTACATGCGCTGTGCAGGTGGGGCTTGATTCAACGACCACCAAAGCAACGTGAATCCTTCCACCAACATCAACAGGCTCTGGCTCCAGCTTCTGACTCCAGCATCAGCAGAAGCTGGGGGTGCTCTCCTCTGGGGGCAGCTCCCATTTGTGCCCCTCTCCTGGGGCCACCCCTGCTCTGAAACAGCCACAGCACTGTTCAGGAGCTGCCACTCTTCCCAGGTATCTCTGGATCAGCAGCAGCACCAGCTACCGAGGTCTCCCCCTCCGCACCCTGTTCATAATTTCCGAGTCTGGTGATGACAGTTCGCCTCTCAGCGATAGCATCGGTAACCCTTGTCTGACCTCTCTGTCTGACAAACCTGGTTCTCAACCTCGGGGGCCCCTGAGAGCATTTGAAGTGCCAGAAAGAAAAAAAAAAAAAAGAACTTCAAACGGAGAAGGCTCTGCAAACCGCGCCAGATCCTGACAGCTCACTGCGAGACAAAGAATGGAAAACTGGACACTGCGCAGTTGTTGCTTTCCTCCCTGCAATCGAGTGGAAACGAGACCAGCAAAATTGACAGCTGTGGAAAACCAGATTGGTGGTTTAGTTTGATGGGCTGGGGCACCCAGGGACAGATGTGGAAAATGCTTTTTAAATGACTTGCGGACACAGATGAATTTTAAGAAGCAGTAATCAGTAGCCATAAGTGACGCCTGACCACAACTTCGAGTATTTAGAGATGCAGACAAGACCCAGGAAGGTAAGAATTGCAGGCATCCCGCCTGGCCTGGAGAGCAAAAGCCCATCACTTCCTACAGCAAAACGGGTGTGTTATGTCTTGGCTAAACTAAGCCAGGGCAGCGGTACAGAATCCACCATGAAGACAAGTGCAAAAGCAAAACTGAAGTGGAAAGAATTAATTAAATGTGCTGTTAGAATTTTTTGTGTTGTGATAGTATCTAGAACCTCAGTGGGACTCCACTTAATGCATAGCTACACTGTCTTAAACATCCCATGTCTCAGAATGATACCACAAAGGTGAGGGAGAACAACAGCCTAGGGAAGAACTCGTGGTTGAGGCTTAAGAGTCCTATTTCCCAGCGCAGGCACTGAAATGCAAGGTGACCCAACCGATGGCTCATGACTCAACCTGCAGGATGGCTCCATCCAACCCTTCATCTCTCCTAGAGGACACAAACAACAGCCTCCAGGGTGGCACAAGCCACCTGACAGCAGAGCTTCACCTAAGGGTGCCCAGGCAGGCACAGAAGCTTTCTCTGCATTTTCATAGCACACGAGGCTGGATCCCAATTGGCACAACCAGATCCCAATTTCTCTTCCAGAAAGGAGAAGCTTGGCTCACCCTCACACACATTGTTTTTACCTGAGTGTGTTTTCCTGCTCAAGCTTGCTCAAGCAGAGTGAGGGGAAGAGATTTTGAGAGAACAATACTCTAATATAAGCTAAAAACAACCCAGCGGTAGAAATCTTACAACCATCCAAAGCATGTGCTTATTTCAATTGGCATTAATCTTCTTTTTCTCCCCAGGAAACACAGAGAACATGCCTACTTCCCACCTTCTTTGATCAGCCTAATACTCCCTTCTCATCCTCTCCCATAGGCATAAGGTCCCCTCTGACTCCTGATGTCCTTTCTATATTTGTTTTATTTGGTTTAGTCGCTTTATCCAAATTTGTTGAGGCCATGGGTATGAACACCATCATAACCTCTTCTCCTACCCTTCAAGTAATTTCTGCAGAAGTGTCAACTGGCACGCTCCCTGGGACATGTGCTAAGTCTGTTTTTATGCAATATTTTCATGGATCTTCTAGAAGCACCAACAAATCAGACAGTAACGATATCTGCAGACTAGGAGATACTATGAAAGCTTGCCAGAACAGGAAAATAACAAGAAAGGACCTGGTGACATTAGAAATGGTAGTAGAAAATAGTAGAATGAGCTTCCGTTTGGAAAATACAGCTAAGAAATACAAAGAAAAAAAATAAAATCCAAAGCACAGATGTTTGACAAATTGAAGAAGACTGGAAAGTTGTAAAGCTGAAAGAGATTTACAGACAGTAGGTGAGACCTGGTTTGCAACATCAGACTGCAACAAGAATACAGCCAAAGCTATTTTGGTCTGTATACTCAAAGACATCATCCAGGAATGAAGTTTAGAGACTCCATCTCCATGGCTCGGATGTGACGGCACCTGGCATGCTACACTCTGTCTCAATACCTCTTCTCCAGAAAAGTGCTCCCAAACCAAACAGAGCCTGAAGACATGCTAAAACACTTGGGGAGAGCCGATAAGGAAAGAGCAAAACAAATTCAGCCTGGGTATGTTAGCTCAACACTGTGATCAGAGGTATGTCATGCTCATAGCTAGCATGCATCGTTGCAAGGGTTTTAAGTAGACAGTGATAATCATCTACAGATATATGACAGAAAGAGAGGGCAATTTAGTACAGCATAACTTGACATAACTCAAAGTAATAGAGGAGAATTAAGAAAATCTAATTTAAGATCAATATCAAAAAAGTTTTCCCAACGTAGGAATTATTCTCTTGCATAAAAGTTTCCCAAGGGAAGCAGTAGAAATCTTAGCGCTTGAGCCAGATAAAAACAATAGTAAATGTACATGAATAATTCTGTACTGGCAGGGTTCTTGATGGCATGTTTTAAAAAGTCTTTATTAATTCTGCTTTTTCTAACCTATTAATATCTTATTTCAATAGTCACTGCTTCTCCCTCTCCCCCTTTCCTTTGTTCACTTTCTCCCCGGTTCTGAGCTGTCATGCACAAGCTCATCTTCTTAAAGACAGTGGTTCCCACTAACTACGAAGACTCGTTAATATTCTAAGCTGCAGTGCTCCTCCCTGAAACAGTCCCAAGGAGAAACGAGATCACTTGCATTTGCCAAATCCACCCAGAAAAGAGCTCAAAGCCAGTTTTAGGACTCCTTAAAAATGTAGCAAGCCCTAGACTTAGCAATACACAGTCTAGGAAAAATGAATGCCCCAGAGATTATAACAGGTCTTGTTGAATAGGACTGTTGCATCTCTTTTCCAACTGCCCCTTCTTCACTGTCCCTGTTTTGTTCCAGTTTTTCCTCCCACTCCTCCAGTTTGGTCTCTGTCTTTCTTCCCCTCTGCTCGCCTCTTTTTGCTTTGTCTCTCCTGCACTCTTCATGTCTTCTTTTTTGCATCATTTTTTTTCAGGTGGAGTTGATTGGCTCCTTCCTAGAAATCCCCACCTTCAGTAAAAAGCCAAACAAATGGCTACCGAAAGGCAAAGCATAGCTCACATTTCAAATAAAAAGAGTTATCCTGGCAGGAGGTGCTGGAATGGCTGCCTGGACTGCTCCAGCCCCATTTAATCCCTGCATAAACCTGATATTGAATGATGCTTTGGGTGTACATTCTTACAGGAGCATGAAAGAAAGAGTCACCATGCCTACTGGCCATGAAAACAAAATAGGCTGCAAGATCCCGGTGCTATATTGCACAGATGTCGGACAGATTGCAGGCTTCGGATTTGCTGTATGTTTTGGCCACCACGCAACCTACATTTTATGGCTACATGAAGTCCTTGTGACTTTATTTTATCTGAGTAGAAAAAGGCACTTGTTAAACAACTTGTTCTCAGGTTCAGAGCTGTGAAAAGATGGTAAAACAAAGCCAAAATAGCATAAATAAAATGAGGCATAGCATTAGGAACTGACTAACCTTGATTTGTCATGACTTACATCTCAATATTATAACTCACTTTCTGCTAGCAAAGTTTGCCAAATAGGTAAAAAGTATTGTATCCCATGCAAGTCCACTCTCAGAGCCAGGTATCTTGGACCATGGGAACCAGAGGACAGTTAAATTATCCTGAATCAAGCCTTCTTAAAGAAGAAATTACAAGAAATTAATACTTCAAATTTCCTCAGTCTGGGAACTGAATTGTCTGGGGGATCAATCTGATGTTGGGATACAGACATTTGCTTCTCTGGTATTTGTGGTATTTGCTATATTTAGAATACAAATATTGTACTACCCTGGGATGTTCCCCACTCTGTGATGCTCTTGAATCCCAACTGCAAAGAAGAGAGCAGTTGGGGCTCTGCAACTGAATTACATGAGAATCCTATGGCAAAAAAATTCCTTTGCATCTCTCCCAGAAGAATGTAAGTAAATAAATATAGAATATATACATAAATGTGTGTGTGCTTGTGTGTGCACACACAGAGAACATATACATAAAAGAATTTGCAACAGAGTGAAAAGTATGCAACTCAGCACAGATAATTTTATGAAAAAAAAGGAACACACAGATGGACAGATAATTTGTGAGTGTACTGAGGGGGGAACATGTTGAAGTGGTTTTTTGTAATCCATCTAGTAGAATGAATTTCACGGTATAATACTTTGTCAAGGACACAGTGAAAGCCAAGCAATTTCACTGCAAATCCTGATAAAAAGAACTATCCCAACATTTACAATCATCACAGCTGCTAAAACAAACTTGAATGTGACCTTCAAGCCATCAGGGTACCTAAGCTGAGACAATGAAATATAAAGAAATATATCTGTTTTAACAAACTTCCTTTGGGAAAGGCTAAATAATAAATGGATGACAAGTGTAACTAAAAGTGTAAAAGCCAGCAGGAACTTTTTGCATCAGGCTTTGTCCATCCAAAAAAAAAGAAAAACCCGAACTCCCAAACCTCCTGAGATGCATTTTATTCATACCATAAACCAGTCAGGATCAATGAGAAGTAAGTGGGGAAAATGGCACTAAGCAGACATAAAAGCTAGAAATTACTAAATGCAAAGCAAAGAACCAAAACAAAGCCTGCAAGGAAAAATGAGGTAGAGAGTCAAGTGTCTCATGACAGGGCAAAATCTTTTTGGCAAGTGTGGATCTGAAAGCATGATTTGCAAATAAATATTTACAACTTGAATAAAATTTCAACACTAGACTGAGAAAACAGGGGGCTGGTCATGGCCAGGAAGGAATGCAGACGAAATAAAAAACTATCTCAGGTTATGGAGAGGCTTTATCTGACTACAGAAAAAAAACCATATTTTGGGGAGAAAAAGGTCATGCATCCCTTGGACAAAAGTATTTGCAAACAGAAAGTAAAAAAGAAAAACCTGCTCAATCTCAAGTTTTAAAACCATCTTAAATGATATATTTCAAAAGATATCCTAAACATTACTACCTCTTATTTAAAGGCAGAAGCATTTCCACATCCAAAATATCCAGCAACTTTCTAGAAACATAAGGTTAGAGGCTAAATGGCAGGAAACCGTGTTTCTGGGACTTGAGAGGCAGCTGCTACTACATCTTGAAAGTGAGTACAGCAAAACCAGCCACGTAATGGTGGAGTTAGCTTCAAGTATGAAATGCAGCCACTGAAACATGATGTAATTAATTCTTAGGCTTGAGGAAATGTGCAGAGAGCCACTGTAACCTGCCCTCACACGAATGCACAGACAGGTGTCTCATTTCACCTACAGCAAAGAAATTATGCACGCTGAACCTACAAATAAATGAAAAGATGACAGAATTCACATAGTCTGGATGCGTAAATTGCATTCACCGTGGACAGCACTTAAAATTGGACATTTTCTATACCTGCAGCAATTAATTCACCATGCTACCTGAAATATTTCCTAAGTAAGTATTGGGAATACTACAATTACACTGTCTGGGTATCTAATGTAATGCAACAGACCACCAATTTTTAATGGCTCTAACTGTAAAAAAAAAACAGAACAAAAGAGAGAGGGAGAGAAAACACCTCCGTGTTAAGTTAAAGGTCTCATCAACTGCAGAAGCTGAGCTTGCTAGGTAAGATACAGCCGTCACTGGTTCAGAGAATATGTAAATTAATTTGAAAAGCACTTAGCACTACACTAGAATCAAATAGATGTATATCCGTGATATTCAAGTTGCATGTATGGCTAAAGATAGCACTAAAAACACAGTCTTTTCCACTTGGGACTTTAAACCCTTCTAGTAAAATCCTGTCTCTGCATCAAATATTCATCTTCTGAAGGCTGCTATCAGATGGTAATGGACATGTGACCAAACCTGAAAGCTCACAGGGTTGGATGATGTTAGGTACCACTATTTTCATCAACGCTAAAACTGAAATTACCTCTAGGCTATGAGGCCTGTGAATCTGTCCCTTCAATTCTTTTGTAGCAAGGTTACAGGCAGCTGTAAAAAGCTATGCTTAAAAAGCCAAGGAATATGTGGCTTGTCCTGACATCTATTTCCCTCCTACACTCCTTCTCTTTTACACCTTGCATTCCTCCTTGCAGCGTGCAGGTTCATCACACCAGTTATCCCAGACACTGCTCCATTGCATCCATGTAGGACATGGGACAAATAAGTTGAGTGTGCCTCTTAAATCTGTTAGGAAATTCTCCTGCCCTATGTTTTAGAAACACCTTGCAGAAAGGTCTCAGTTACTACTGCCTGCTTCCCCGCACTGGAAAGCATTCAAAAACTATTTAGCTTGCTTATCGACAGTACGCTTCTCATCATTATTCCTCTATTTTGTGTTGGAGCAATCAGGCTGAATATTTAGGGATAGAGTAAATTTCCAGCAGATGTACTCTCCTAGATGTCAGTGTGATGCTCGTTTATGTGATACAGAACTCAGCCCATGAAACAAAGTGAAAAACAGCACTGCTTCATACAGACACCCAACAGTCATCACACAGTACAAATAAAGATCACTCTTACACTCTGTTGCTTAAGAACTAATCATTTAAGTGTAAAATCTACTCAATTCTTTCACTAATTTTTCTATTATCCATGACATCCACTGGAAATATAGATGATTTCAAAATGCACACTCCTTTATTATTCTGAGAGCATAGTGTAGTTCCTTCAGATCAGAATAAAACAATGCAGCATTCAGAGACAAGTTCTATTAAGAAAAAACCTTTAGATAGAGTTATGTCTGTTAGTTATCAAAAAGAAAGGAATATTTTATGGAGAAGGAAGATATGCACACAGACATCAAAAACAAACTCATTAAAAAAAGTTATGACATTGCTAAAGTTAATTATCTGTCGAAGTTTCTATTATAAACTCACCACTCAAGAACCAACAGCAAATCCATAAGCTATCACACACCCCAGGTGCCCAGAAGGTCTGTTGAGCTGTGCTGCAGGGATGAGGGATTTTGAAAGGAGCAGAACAATGAATCATTAGCAGGGACTCTGCAGCTACCATCCTATGATATGTGTGGCTGTGTGCTGGCTAGCGAAGATGGAAGGCACAGTCCAGCTGAGACTTTTTTTTTAGTGGAGCTGGATTTACCTTGTATTGCCTGCCTTGAGGAGTACAATACAAGTTCAGACAAAGACTTCATAGGCAAGGGGTAGTGCTGAAAGATGTTTTGAGTTTCACAATAAGGAGAGGATTTGCATAGCTTCGGTGGGTAATGGAGGCCTTCTGAAGTTTTCATTCATGCATAATAGTTATGCATCATGTTATTCAATTGCATTTCTTACTCAGCACCTTTCTGCTGAATCTTGTCCCCTTTTCCTTCAGTTCACTTAATTTAGTTACTCAGTGTTATTCTCATGTCCTCTTTCTTTTATGTAGAAACACAGGCTATGCAGCCTTCTATCATCAGTGTACTCTGAACACAGAAGTGCTGGCGCTACAAAAGAAAGTAAAAAATATCAACTCCATAAACAAGCCGTTCTCCATAAACTTACCATTAAAATGCGTCTGTAGCTGTCTCTATCGATGCCCCAGAGCTTGAGATCTGTCTTGGCCTTGACGGTGGCGGCCCGGGGTGTTCCATAGATCAGTGCCAGCTCCCCGAAACTGCCTCCTTCTCCGATGCTGGTGACCCACTCCCCGTTGACATAAACCTACCACAGCACAAGACAAAACAAGATGCAAAACCAGTTTGGGGACTTAGTCGCAGTTTTCCTCCTACTGCCAGTTACCTAAAAAGCTATTAGTAATTTCCTTTCTAATCGTCAATGCTGGGGACACAGAAGGAAAACAAGAGCATACAGTTTCCGCAGTTGGTCCCCAAAGAGGGCAACAACCTGCTTTGTGGACAGAATTTCAAGTCGTCTTGTTTCAGTACAATGACTGTATTTACTCTCCAAGTTTTCAACTCCCATGGTTAACTGGCATCGTGTTTTCCCTGTTGTGTTCAAGGCTCACACAGTCAACAAGCAGAACTGTCACAACTTTGGCTTTTTATTAACGCTGTCAAACTTGAAAGGAAGGAGATTTGTTGATATGTGTAATGAGGTTTGCTGAAAAGCACCATGGCCATGAAATGTAAACCAGTCAAAACAGGGAAACATCTTTTCAAAAGGAACATTTTTTTCTTCCCTAAGCCTAGTGCCTCCAACAACCATTTAAATGTAACTACAGAGATCTCTTTCTCCCTTAGTGAAGACTACTAAGTGCTTTGGACCTGAGAAGCTATGTGCAGAATTACCCTTTGTCTTTAACACCAGCTCTACAGAACTTATGAAGTAGTATTTGACCCACAGTCAATTTAGATAACATATCCTCTCGAAAGATGGTACGGATCGATACCACTATCACACTATTTTTCCTGGATGATCTCTCATTTGAGAATTTCTACACTTGAGTGCTATGTTAAACCTTCACTGGAGAAAGGGGGACTCATGCAGGTGCTTTCTGCTGGGCTGCATTTTCCTCACTATTCATGGACAATACAGCTCATGAGACATAATAGTGTATTCAAAGACTGGTATGGATTGTGTATTCTGCAGCTTGCTTGTAGGCTTGCTGTTATAAACCTACACAATAAACCCTTTTCATTCTGTTAATGTGTCTGTGAGTTTAGAGGGTAGGAAAGGCTGTGTGCATTTACCCAGTGCAGAATATATCCCAATCTGTTACAGACTGATAACAGCAGAAATCAACCAGAATGAATTTAATTTGTTTGGAAGCTCTGTGAAGAAAAATAATATGAAGAAAATATGCAGGTATTCTCATCTTAAGCAGAAAACTATGGCAAAGGAAAAGACCATAACCTATTACCAATTACTGAGTAACAGACTAGCAGTTTTTAAAAAACATATGAATTAGAGCTGTGTTCAAGCTGGGCATGAGAAAAGATGGTGACCAAAGTAAATGAACTGGGGTCAAAATTCAACAAAATGTCAGTATTAATTTTACTTCTATCTTCATTTCATGATGAAAAGGCGTATTACAAACTACAGCTGGAATCAATCCCAATTTATCTTCCCAATATTCAATTAAGCTCTGATCCAGCTCCTACTGAGGCCAGTGAAATGCTGGTTCAGTAGGAGATGGATGAGGCCACGGAGCAGTTCAGCTGATCAAGAGACCTCTTGGGTATCAGCTGAAAAGGAGCAATATTAGTATCACTGCTGAACTCCGGGCAATGTTGTGGCTCTTGGTGTTCCTGGAGCATATGAGGATCAAGGGGCTGAAACAAAGGATAAAAATAATCCCAAACAGGCAGGTGGTAGCAGGCTGCCAAGAAAGAGCTCAAGCCACAGAATCTGTAGCTTCATTTCTTCGTCACGACAGAATGAATGTCACATAGGAGAATATCACACAAGAGAACGACAGCAGCATTTCCTTTCAAACTTTTACACTCAATGCAGAAAGAAAATCTCACAGAACACTGAATCTACTTTTGATTCTCCTCATGATGAAAAAAATGAAGGCAAAAAAAGAAGTTTTAAAAAGCCAGACACAAGCACTTTCTGGTGAAACAAGCAGGTAATAATACTGTGGCTTGTGGATCTTTTTTTTTGAGACAAGCAGGAGAAATGGATGAGTAAAATTAGGATTCTGAAAGGCTTGTGACATAATGAGAATGTATGAAAAATTTTAAACTCAATTAATCCATTGCAAAATTGTTCAGATGCATATTTGAATGTAGGGATATCCCCTTACTGTGGGGATTTCACCGGATGGATCCAGGTTTTGCTACAGTACAGCCATTCATGTCCTCAGCAAAAAGTCTCAGGGATGACAGGGAAAATCTAATAATTCCAATGAGTTTTGGACCACATCCTGAACATCAACTGACATTGCATCCTTTACTCTTTTTCAGCACACCAAAAATACACATGCTTCTATATGCTCTTCTGTTCAAAAGCACAGGTTTTGTTATTGCAGAAGGGTCTGAATTATAAGCAGAAATTAAACTCATTCCAACATGTATTTTTTAAGCAATATGGTGACATTTCCTGTTAAAGCAGTATGCATGATATGACTGCAGCCCAGAGAGGGGAATTACGCTGGTAAAACTCAAGGTAGAGCAAGTGAAGGATGGACATTTACCGTTGCACAGTTGTTATAAAGAGAGGCTACTAATAAACTGCTCTAAGACTTCTTTAATTTTGCCGTCTTACTTACTTGACAAGACTCCCCAAAACGTGTTTGACATCTTGCCTGTAAACAGTTCATGCACATGGCCATTCCTCCACCCCCCACCACCAGGTTTAAAGTACTCTGAGGTGAAACCAAATCACTGATCTGACAGTCTTTGGGCCCAGCATTCACTCCCCTGATAAAAATGCCATTTCCAATATCAATCTCCAAAGGAGAAACCAGCTTGAGAATAACTGTTGTTTTCTAGGAGGAAAACCATTGTACTACATTCTCTGCAAAGGCCTAAGTCAACAATCAACTTTTGTCTTCATGACAAAGTTCAAGTGCATTGGTGGCACATTACAAAGCCATTCTGCCCTTTAACAGAGAGTTCAGCTCCACTATGAATCCCTTTAAAACAGGTTTTATAAAAAGAAGGAGAAAGGAAAGTAGCTCTGTTTGCAAGGTGTGGGAAGTAAAGCTATTTTAGGCTCAGAACAGCTTATGAAAGCCAATGTTATATGGCAGCAGCTCAGATGATCTCCTTTATCCAAAAAAAATGCTGGGCTGAGGTTTTGGCTCGGGCAGCTTTAGGCATTTGTGAACTCTCACCAAAGTGGCAAGTACATAAGTGAATTATTCCTAATTGTTACTTGACCTGCTGATCACAGCTCTGTAATAGCTGGAACCTTCTTCTTTCATGCAGCTGAAGAGGAATGTAGAACTGCAGGTGCCCAAATATGACCAAGCCATCAGGACCATCTACTTTCCACAGATCAAAAGTACTTTAGATTTCTATTGTTTTCCATCATGTAGCATGAGCACTGCAATTTTTGTGGGCTTGAAAATCACACAACTTTGTTCATTTCATTATGGGAAAAATCTCCTGTGAACATCAGCAGCTCCTTTCCTCATGGGCTGCAATATACATAGGCGCTAACTGCGAGAGAAAATGCAATGAGTCACACACTGCTCAATGCAATAAGAATGCATCTTGGCCTCATTCATCTTCATGTTGTCTAAAGAAGCAGCAAGTAACCTTACCACAAGCAGTAATATAGCCATTTTACTTTGAAGGCAGGATATGAACATCTATCTCTGAGCTTCATTGGAGTGAATTTACCTTTACTTTAATCTTGTATTGCTGATTTCAAGTTAACTCTTAGCATTTTTTTTTGCTGCCACTTTGTGATCTATGTGGACAATCTCATTTGTTCCAGGCATTGCAACTTTTAGATGTTAAATCCCCTGACTCAGATCTGTTTGTAATAATTTGTGCTTTGTGTCTTTTCAAGCCTTAATATTTGTTATTCAAAAATGAAGATGAGGTTTATTTATTCTTGGAAAAATAAGCAAGCCTTAGACATGAAGGGTATTTATATGTGGGTAGTTTTCTCAAATAAAGCCAGTGCTTTATTTGTAGTATGAATTTGCTTTTCTTAAATATAAATATACGAGCTTGGAGCCTGCCTTGAGAATCCTTAAAAATTCAAGCTGAAAAACTCAAAACTTTAAAATGTTCTGTTTCAAATTTCAGAAAGCATCCTTCTGAAATTAGAAAGATCATTAATGATGGAAGAATTGAAACCAAAAGCAATCTATGGAATCTAACCATAAAATGTAACTAGTTTTAAAATCCAGCAGTATTCTCACATAAACCACCATGTAATTGTCATCTTTGTATATACAAATTAAACAGTTTCTGTATACAAATAAGGGCTTCAAGAAGATTTGACCTACAATTAAAAGATAATCTTATCTATTGTCCACAATATTCATGTATAGCTCCACATATACATTTATACAGTAAATACAGAACCTATATAAGAAAAAATACTGAGAAGTTTTCATTTTGATTTTCACCATGCTGTAGTTTGGCTGCTGTTGTTTTACAAGAAGAAAAACTGAGAATGACTGTAGAGAAAGTTGCTGTGACATTAAATAGAATAGGAAGTTGTTCAGTCTAAAAAAAATACATCTGCTTTAAAAGGGTAGTTGATGGTGCTTTTTAAAGTAAAAAATGTGAGGTTATAAGATTAAAATAATAAACAGGAAGTCATTTTTATATTTAGAAATATGGATTAGAGATTTTTGCAAGACACATACTTTAGCAGGTACTTTCAACATCTTTACTGGAAACTATAATTTAAGCTCTGCCAGCTACTTTTTGGCATACGTTCACATTTGTCGGAGCAGAAAAGCTTCCGGTAGACAATTGACCTCTAAGACTTCAAACCTCATGCCACCATCTACCTTGTATAAACTTTATCCATCTGCAGGGCCAGGTCATGAGTTAACAGTTCTCATCAACCCTGAAGTGCTAAGGAGGAAGACTGTGACTGGTAACGCTACAATGTCCTTTCCCATTCAATGCAGCTTTGGTCAAAGTATACCTGGTTTGTAGCATACACTATATGAGAGGAAAACACCAGGTTCTCCAAGACCTACCTCTTCCTGATTTCTAAACCCCCTTCTTTTACATATGAAAATTTGTGCCCTCCTCCCTTGCCCCATAGTCCATGTGGAGTGTGCTTGCCAATGGAAGGGTATTGAGTCTTCTTTGGCTGTCCATAGTAATACCAAGAAGGAAATGTGGAGATACTTTATTCTGTGCTAACAAGGCTTGTTTATACCCTAAGAAAGTGTAAGAGTTGAGGATAAAGTGTTATTATATTTAAAAATATTTTATTGTACTTCTAATTTGACTCAGATTATTTTTAGGGGAAAATATTAGAATGCTTTTACTTACTCTCTGGGGTGCCTATGCCAAAACTCTAACAGTAAATTACTTTTCAATGTTGCAGCTCTTTAAACTCAGAACACCACACACTGATTTTGTTATTCTGGCTTTGTTGGTGGTTTCTGTTTGGTTTTGGTTTCTTGGTTGATAGATTTTTTTTTTTTTCAGTTTTGCAATGACTTTCTTCCAGAGGATGGGAATTGTATAACGGCAATTGCAACCTCCTTTATGTGTATCTTTGCATGTGTATGCAAAACCTTGGTGCTTATCAGTCATGATGTTCTCAGAGCAAATTGCTCCTTGAATCCACCAGTCCTGGTATACCTGCCACTTCTGTGCAGATCAGGGAAATGATGAAGGCAGATAGCCTGGCCAGGCGTTAAAAGCCTCCATGCATAGGCCAACACCAGCTGAACTAGGCAGAAAATGGCTCGAGGCTTTAAGTCTCGGGGTCAATTGCCTACTCTCCAAGTTGCTTTTTTTCTTGGAGAAGGGTGGAAGCATGCCAAAAAATATCTGGCAAGGCTTAAATGAACTGCAGCTCGCTTACTAGCGGTCTGGATTTTCTTCAGACAATAAGGATTTTAGCACTGCTGCCCAGAAAGTAGAAGAACTCTTTTCTGGGGAGCTCTATATACTGTGTGATAGTGCACACCGAGGGGGTCTGGGAGCTGCTGCCTTATACTGGAGCAACTTACTCTGCACTAACTGCCCTGGTACAGACTTTACTCTGTGGGGGGAAAATGGGCTCACCTCCCTGCAGCTTCCCCGAAAAGGCAGTTAATGTAGGTAACTTCTGTAGCTACCAGGGTGTAGTTGCAACTTGCTCCTGGATGAGCGAACGTTTCTTGTGCCTTCTACAGTATCTTGCAAAGGAATTCAGTGTGTGTTTTGGCTGAAGATATAGGAAAAGCTTAGGAAGGAGAGAGTATCTAGCTGAGGAGACGGTAAGGTGCAGCCAGATGAAGGAAGGGGGATGCTGAAGTGGGACAGCATGAGAGCTGGTCACAGAAGAGTTCTGCAAGACTTAGAGGGTCAGGAGCTTTGGCTGTCCCTGAAATAAGCTCAGTCCAAATGACATCTCTTAAGTCTTGTTAGGATGTATTTGTCCTACAGGTCATGTCAGAAAACTGTCCGTACGTGTGTCTGAGAAGTGTCAGGATGACATTATTGTGGATCTGTCCATTTTGATCTGTCCTAGCAGCTATAGGCTGATTTTGGCAATTAGGGGAGTGGGGATTGAGAATGCTCGTGAAATCAAAGTTGCAATCTACTCAAAGAAACCCAGTTATTTCATTCATTCCTTAGAAAATCTGCTGTTGCAAGTCTCAAAGACAAGGCAGGAAAAATGTATATCCTATATCATACATAACTGACTGGAGGACTGCAAACTACTTGGAATACAAAGAAAACTTCTGCCTTCAACTCTAATAGAGTAAAACAAAGCTGTGCACTGTGCTCTTTGTTTAGCAAAACAGCACGTCCCCCTGAAGTCAACAGAATTGCTCATGTGCTTAAAGGAGGACTGGTGCTTAGTTTGTCAAATCAAGGGTCTGGGATAAAATTTTCAAAAGCATCTATACGGCTTAAGAGCCTACATGTAATTGCAGTGCAGTGGCACTGAGGCCATTTAGTCACTGTGGCAGTGTCGTGGTTTAAGCCCAGCCAGCAACTAGGCACTCCGCAGCCGCTCCTCACTCCTCCCCCCTCCCAGTGGGATGGGGAGGAGAATAGAAAAAAACCCGTAAAACTCATGGGTTGAGATAAGAACAATTTAATAACTAAAGTAAAATAACATGTAATACTAACAATAAGTATAATAATAATGAAAAGGAATATAATAAAATTAAATTAAATTTAACAAACAACAACAACACAAACAAACAAACAAGAAAAGGCAGGTGATGCACAATGCAATTGCTCACCACCCACTGACTGATGCCTGAGCAGTGATCCACCCCTCACAGCCAACTCCCCCAGTTTATATACTAAGCATGACATTCTATGGTATGGAATATCCCTTTGGCTAGTTCAGGTCAGCTTTCCTGGCCATGCTCCCTCCCAGCTTCTTGTACACCTGCTTGCTGGCAGAGCATGGGAAACTGAAAAATCCTTGACTTAGGATAAGCGCTACTTAGCAACAACTAAAACATCAGTGTGTTATTGACATTATTCTCACACAAAATCCAAAACACACTGTACCAGCTACTAAGAAGAAAATTAACTCTATCCCAGCCAAAACCAGGACAGGCAGTTTTTCAAATTTTACCCCAAATTCTATCTCAGAAGCCTCACAGGTCCCTGAATTGTTCTGGGAAATATGATATTGTTCTGCAAAAGACTTTCATGAACTCAAGAAACCATTAATAAAAAATGATCTGGACACATGCCTCTTCTTGGACCATTTACGGTCAAGATTATTTATGAAAGGATTTCAACTTTCCATAAAAGCACAAAGAACATCAGATACACAACTAACATGATGTAGTAAAGGTGTTTCTATGTAGATGCCAGGATATACCTGGGAAGGGAACTACGATGCCATCTTACCCAACAGAGAATACAGCAACTGGTGCTCTAAACAAGTCCTTCTCAACATTTGCAGAGCTACAGCCACCTTGGAGATTGATGGCAAAGAAAATACACAAACCACCTCATGCAATGGTTTTACAAGCAGACACAAAGCTGGCTAGGCCCTGGACTTTTATTTTCCCCATTTTGTCACTGCTTTGTAAGACAATATGTGGACATGTAAGATTATCTTTTTTGCAATTAATTGCAAGGGTTTTGCAGACTGTTTTCTGATATCATTTGGTCCCCACTATCCTTGAGCCAAACGCTGAAGAAAGCTTTCCTAAAGGTTTTGAGCAAGGACAAATTATTTTTAAAGAGGATTAATCTGTAACTTCAGTATGTGCATTTGCTGTGTTTGTGGGTCTGATTCAAAGCCAGTGAACTCATTAAGCTCAGTATCGGGCCCTAACCAATTATTTTAAAACTAAATTTTAGCGCTGTTCTATAAATACTGCTCTTTTATTTTCTGGCCCTGTGGATGTGGCAATGTTTGCTATTGAGAGGTATGCCTGATAGGAACAGTGAGTCAGACGGATTTCCTGAGGAGCAACTTCCAGAGGCAGAGGCAGCATGTGAGGTTTCTCAGTTCCCAACAATACCAATTAGATGGTCTCCTGACACAAACAGACTGCTAAAAAAAATAACTTTCACTAAAATAACTGTATGCCTCCTGCCCAGATTTAAAATAAATCGCCTTCTCCTTTAAATATGCCAAACAAAACTCATCTGGGCATCTGAAGAGCAACGTTGCTAATGAGCAAGCCTGTCCTATTTGACAACTGTGGATACGTAAGATATGTGTAGAAAATTCAGTCAAATGAGGAAATTGTAGCAAAAATGCAAAAGGGTCAGTTTCATATGGGATAAAAATGATAAGAGGTGAATAGATTATGATTTGAAACACAGGTTCAGAAAGAAGCTTCTTTTCAAAGACTTGATTAAACCACTGCGTACTCCTGTAAACATTTTGTGGTCTAACAGATCACTTTACACTTATAATAATCCTTGCTTTATTAATATGCTGCATTGTTCATATATTTGGACCTAATTTTAAAAGCAAATTAAGGTTTCTAAGATGAAACTCGCTGCCTGAGGCTGTATCTCAATTTGTGGAGAAAAAAACCCAACACATGAGCTAAGATAACTGATTAAAGAAAATATTTTCCTTATGGTTGATCTGAACCCTCGGGTGCATTCCAGCATGGTGGCCTGCTCTGCCAAAGACTGCACACCTCCAGGTGTGGTTAGGGTTCTGTAGATAATGTCATTTGCTTGGTTTTGATACCATATTTTCCTGCTTGGAATGGACAAATAAGCTAGGATGTAAAACACGCCAATTATAAAATTATGCACAAATGACTTAACACAACAAAAGCAAAGTAATGAGACCAATCCTGTGAAATCTATTTCAAGAAGAAAGGAGACAGAACCACAGCACATGGCTGGATCAAGTTGTGTGCCAGAGCATACAATTTTATTACGTAGCTTCAGAATAAATATTATACTGTAAGAGTGTACTTACATCCACCTCGCCTTGGTCAATCACATAGAAGTTGTCTCCTTCATCACCTGGAAGCAAAATACAAAAGGTGATTGTTTCCTGAAGGTCTGCTAAACTGTTTAATAATTTCCTGTCTCTATATTTAATCCTGTACATATTTGCACAGGTTTGTACACCAGATTACTTACAGAGAGATTCATTTTCTGAAACAACCTTGCCTATTTGCCTTCATAAATCAAAATATTGCTATGATTTCTTCCTATTAATATCTTTCAATTGCATTAATTTATCTCTTCTGATTGATTCAACACTTCATTCAGCGTAAACACACCAGAGGCTTTAATATAGCCTGAGGGTCATGAAGTCCTCCACAACATGCTGCAGGCACGCAGGTAAGTTGCCAGGTGCGATAACTATGATACAGCACAATGAGGTGTTGAATATTCCCAACAACCATAAAAATATTTTCCATTTCTAATTACTCTCAGCTAGCCCATGCCACCCTTATGCATTATGAGCTGTGGTTTACTTCCTGACTATCTTCAGTTAAGGAATGAACATTTTAATTTGAAGTGCTATTTATCTACTTTTAACTGCAGCACTTTGAAACCCTGGAGATCTACCGGTGTGGTTTTGTAAGAGAGTTCTGCACATGTAGCAAAAGACCTGCATCCATGAACTTATGACATAGCTACACACTTAGATGCTTTCGGAATGTGGTTATTCTTCCCGTTAAGCAAAGAGGGTGAAATCTCAAATGGAGAGATGCGAATTGTACAATCTTAGCAAACATACAAGGGAAAAAAATGAGAAGAATAATTACCCTGTTGTATGACTGTTTCTCCTGCGATGTGTGTGACAGGGAACATGGCATCAAATATGTCACTGGAAAAAAAAAAAGAAACATTTATTGATGAATCAGACCTATTTCTTATCTAGTCAGTAGACCTACCTTCACTGTTTCATTTAGCTTTCATTAACAGATTTTGCAGAAAAAGAAAAGGAAAATGGTAGTTGTAACTAGAAAATGAGCCCCTGCTTGGCAAGAAATCAAAATAACTAGTTAGGCACAAGCTGTGGTTTAAAACTAAGTGAGACCGCAATTCAGTGCATGTTATATTGAAAAAAACTCCTGAATTATATGCATATAGGCCCCTTCTTACAGCACTGCACAAACTAGCCAGCCTGCGTATTTTATTGCCTAAGCAGACAGATTTCAGATTTTCAGCTGCGATCAGTATGTGTCACAGCAGTAATTGCTAGATGCCTAAACGGGAGCTCTCCTCTTCTGAACATCTGGCCTCGCGTTTACAAGCAAAACCTGTTCCACAATACAGAGCACATTTGGAAAGGTAGATGTCTCTAAATTAATGTAGCATAAGACCTGGCAAAAGATTGCATTCACAGTACACAAGAGGCCAAACTCTGAAAATCTTAGTGAGTTACTCGTGAGAAGGGAATTCGACCAATGCTACAGAAACACCAAAGCTGCAGAAGAGCCTTGTGCTCATTAATCATCGCTGAATTACACACCTTACTGTGGTCTCCAGCATACTGTCACATATCCTTAAAAGGCCAGGCAGAGCAGTAAGGACGGGAATGCACCCTGCACCAACACTTTGGGCAACTTGCCCAAATCCAGTCCTTTGTTTATTGAGGGAAACAGCAGGCTCTGTGGAGCCAGGGCTTCCTTTCCCCACATCAGATTTTGGGGAGCTTATTTTGAGAAGCATGAACCACACCGAGACAGGCACTCCCCACCTCTCTTCCCCTTCCTATGTATCAGTCTCAAGGGCTAAAGGAAATAGCTCCCCGACACAAACAAAAGGCAGCAAGGAGGAATTGTTAACTAGTCTCTTCCCTGGTCTGGTCTAGGAATGGTTTTCACAGGGACCACCGATGACAGCGGCGAAATGAAACGCTTCAGCCTGGAATGGAGCAAAGTCCTCATGATCCTAACAGAGCGCGAGCAGTGAAGAAACCTAAAATTTTCATCAAAATAGCCAGAAGATCAGCAAAAAAACCCATGCTACATTTCAATGCCTTATATGGCAAATGCATATTGTAAAATCCCATTATTAGCTTATTTCCTGTTTAACTGTTCCAGAATTTATTCAGGCTCAGTTCTAGGAAATGTTTCACTTCTAAGTTCAAATTGGTCATGTCTTTCCTCTTCAGCAGCCAGAATGTTTTTGCTCAGTATTGCAGCTCTGTGTCAGCACCGCTTGTAGGAGAACTGGGAGATTTCAAACCAGGCACCTCCCACCGCTCCACAGTACCTGCAAGGGATGCTTACCCCATGACCTATAATAAAATGATATATTTTATGCCTATTGTTTCATCAGGCCAAGCCTGTGCTATTTCTACTCCCGTTCAGGAAATACCTCCACCACGGATAAAAAGCCTGCTCAGAGGCTCTAAGGAGAAACCTCTTTCTCACCTCATTCTGAGCACCAATGTAAAGACCTATAATAAATTATTCTGAAAAGTATATGGACTGTATTCTTAAATCCACTAAACTCATTTTTAATGATCTTAAATGGGTTCAGCATTTCTCCAGTTCAAGGGACTCCTCTGTTGGCAGAAAGCATCTGGCTGGTGCAGGCTGCGGAGCTGGTCCCTGTGCCCACCCTCGGTGCCCTCCACCTAAAAGAAATGGCAGCTGAGGTTCAGATGAGATGGGGGAAACTACCACGATGGTAGGCGCTGAACGGGAACAGCCACCGAGGGACCTTATGTCGGTGAGGCAAGTCAAGCTGTTCTTCACAGTAGCTCTGGGACCTGGAAATTCAGTATGACAGAGGCTCGTTTGCCTCCCTGTGGCTTTCCCTTGGCTGTGCCTGGGCACTTCACTGAGCTTTAAGAAGAGTCCTGCAGCCTGCAGAAGATCTACTGGAGGAAAAGGCACTCTGCGTGGCAGAGAAGAAAGTCTTCAATGTGATACATCCAAAAATAGGCACAACACTGTGAATATCAATAACCAAACCAAAATGTGACTATTTGAACAAACTTGGAAACTTTTTAAAAATAGAAATACAAAGGAAATAACTACCTACAGTTTCACCATTTCATCTTTGTTTTAAGGCTGTATTCTATTTGTAACCTAACAACTGACCGTATAAACAGTGCCCAATAAATTACGTATAGCGCTGCACCCTTCTCCAAAAGGTTCCACATTTCATTTCTACAACACCTTTTAGTTTTATCAAAAAAATCCTTTTTAAAACTCACAGACTAAAACTTCCAGCTGACGGTGTAATGAACCCAAAGTGAATTAGCAAGAACAGCAGTTTTACGCTAATGTTCTGCTGTGTAGCAGTGTAGAAGAATACTGGTGCAAATATTCTAGCACCCCATATACGATGTGTTTCAGCGAAGTCTTAATCTTATTAGACCAAGGCTTGGATTTTTTAAGAGACCTTTGAAGGACATATCATCAGACATTAGTCTAAAATACATATGAACACACCGACACACAAGGTACCCAGAGTCATGGTGATGTTGATTTACATCTCCTAAGTGAAACAAGGGCATATCTTTGATAAATAAATGTAAGTGACCAACAATATCATGACTGTCACATGTCAAACATATCGTCATGTTTCTTTTCTACTAGGGAACTACTGTTCTTAATTGATATGGTTAGGCCAAGATCTCTCACAGTGATTAATGAGTCCGAGTGTTTCTGCTTTTGGATGCTCAATTTGAGATTCATTAAATAGTCTCAGATCTCAGATGATATGGATCAGCAGGCAGCCTCAAAGTTTCTCAACGTACAAGTCTGGCAGCCAAGAACTGGGACATTCAGAATACCACCAAGGAAAACCACCCTTCTGGAAATTATCATCTCCTAAAGTACCAAATGCTTAAGGTCCCTGTATGAAATCTGGCTTTTGATTTAATTCAGACTAAGTGTAGAATCTGTTTGGAAATGTTTCTTATTGCCTTTATCCCCAGTGTCTGAAATAAACACAAAAATGTCACAAGGATCAATATACCACAATACTTTGAAAATTTGAAAAATTTGTTCCTGACCCAAGCCAAAATCTGAAACTACAATAGACAGACAATTTTCCACCTCCCCAATAAAAGTCCGATGCTCCATATTCAGTTTCAGCCATGTGTCCTGGGTCTGTATTATGTAGTGAAAAGAAACTTTAAATACTGAATAAGTTAAGAAATGGCACTTGTTAAAGGTATAAACAATATGGCAAAGGCCAAAAATATGGCCTGTTGTTTTATTTCCTGTACCATGCACCTGTTTCTAAGACATTCAAAATCACTCTCTGACCATTACAGTAAAAAAAAGCCCTTACGCATACAGTGCTGCAACAATCTCACCACCAAGCAGAGATTGTAGATATGTTCTCCTACAGCTCTGCAAAAGTAGGTAGTTGTATTTCTTGGGTTTGAACGTTTTGTTAAATAATTAGGGCCAAACACATGCATACACATTCCTAACAACCAAAATTTTTTTCAAGCACAAGCAGGTTTTATTCCAGCATAAACAAAAAGCCAGAAAATCAGTAGTTAAGTCTTCACGAAATGTTGAACTACCATGATTTCATCTTCTGTCTGAGCTGCAGCACGAAGAACACAGCAGCCTCTGTCTTCTGCCCCTGCACCAACTATTTAACTGTTGACACTGACCGTGCTAGCAATGCTGTGCACTGAATTGATATGGAAACAGTTTGATTTTTTGCCAGGATTTTTATGATTGTGCTGTAAATGAGAACTGCTCAGAGGGATTTCCTCATTTTGTTGAAAATGTATTATTTGCCCTGTTTCTGGATGACTTATTCAGGTGATGGAAGAAGAAAACAGGGCACCAGTTCTGGTATTTCAGCTGTTGTTTCATGAGACTGCAACCAAGAGAGATGCACTGCACCCAGCATGTCCCAAGCTCAGCATCAGTGCTTGGAGGGCTCTTTCTCACCCTCTCCAGAGCCAAAATTTTTGACAGGCTTTGCAATTTTTTCACAGCCTCCCTACCTACTTCCAGAGGATCTGTATCTGGTTACTCATGGCACGTGGAGTCAAACTTTTGTTCCAATCAGAAGGTGTCAAGGACAATTTTTGGCTTGGAAGTGTAGTTGCAGGTTGGACTCTATGTATCTGAATACCCACATGTGGATCCAAAGGGAGACGTTAGCAGGACATTACTAATGTTTTCCAGGGGGATTCCTCCGTGTTTAATTCTTTGTAACTTTTTGACATATCATTCAAAAACAAATTACAAGAAAAGATTGTGAGCAGCATAAAACATACAGAGAGCAGTTAACTAGTCCAACAAAGTGAAACCAAGAAATGCGTTTAGACATGAAATCTCTATCTATTCAATCAAAAAATACCATCTGTCTTCTCAGCGAATATAAAAATTTAAAAGACTTTTTTAAAAAGGTCAAAGATATCAAAGGCTTGCAGCAAGTTTTAACACATAAAGTGTCTTCCATGAGTGTACAGGAGAATTGCAAACAATTGCAATCAGACCTGAAATCATAGGCGCTGATCCTCTGCTGTCTGTCATCTGTAATGACTTCTGGCCACCTGTCCAGGTTGAGCCAATTCCCCTTTCACGCAAAGAAGGAAAACTCCACTCGAATCAATGAGACTGCAGCTATTCAGCCCAGCAAAGAGTCTATCACAGTGATTGCAAAATAAATATGATGAAACACTCTGCTGATTTAATTCAATAGCATTTTATAGACCCCTTGTGCCAAGATGCAAATGACTGTGCTAAGAGGAAGCCAGTAGAGAGGGCAGGGCCAAGGGGTTCTCTTTCTCATGAGAAAAAGTTAGTGATAAAAATAAATCATCTCATCTGATTTTACACCGAGGCTGCTTGGAGTCGACGTAGAATATGATAGACAAAAAAAATAATGTGC